TTTGGTCTAAATATAAATGATATTTGGGTCGGGAGAATTGAATGAATTAAGTCATCAGTATGTCCGCTGCATAGAGGAAGTGCACCAAGATGAAAGGAGCAATAAAACCACGACAAGCTGAGAAGAGCACACACAGGATGCTCAAATCTGGTTAAGAAGACAAAAGCAGAGAAGCGAGCAGAGTCAGGGCCCAATACTAGCGTGCAGGCTACAAAAACATCCATGTTTCCAGCCCGGGAAAGTTCCAGAACCACCAACCTTCATCATGAGTGCTTCCTCCCCTGACTGGTGGGTTAGACAACTATGGGCTAGAGTCCTCGAGCGTGTGTCAGGACTGGACTCATGTTCCTTCCAGCCAATGCAGTTAAAACAGGTTAGCTGAGGCAAGGCTTCCTTCTATCTATAACCAGATAGGCCTGCCTCAGTGAAGAGCATGTTGGCTCCAAGAACATATTTATGTTTTCTCCTGGACAAAAGGTGTTAGCAGCATGGCTGGGTCTGTCCTTGGTTTTGTCTGGGGGTCTGCAGCTTCTTTGCTTGTCTGGGTCTCCAGAGGCACAGGTCCCTAGCACATAGGCCATAGGAGAGCCCACGTTAGGGGTGGAGGGGAGAAAGCAAGGGGTTCACAGACACTGAGTGTGAAGTCCTGCTGGGAAGGTCTCATTTCCCTCCAAGTTCCCTTGCAACAGTGGGGAATGATATGAATTCCAATAGCATCTGAAAATTGGGTTTGGACTGAAAGCGGCTCCAAAGCATCAAGACAATTAGTGTTCACTTCACTTCCTGTAGTTACTTCCATAAAATGGAAGATGGCTAACCTGACACTCTGGGCATCCTTCATTGATGGACAGGAAGACCTCTGGATTAGTTATATGAATCACTTAGCCACTGTGGGACTCAGTTTCCTCATCTATAAAATGGGAGATTGAATGAGGTGATTTCTAGCTTCCTTGCACATTCAACGACCCATGGTGGTTCACAGGCCCACCTCTCAATGAAGTTAGCTCAGTTTGGTAGAGAAGTGGGAGTGAACACACTTGACCTTTCATAGAGTGTACTTCTAGCCATTGTTGCCATAAAAGGTCCAGCCCAATTTAAGGTCATTCCTTTCCACCTTGTTGGTTCCTGGTCCACCTCAATTCTATTCTAGGGTTTCTGTGCTGTTATAGGCCAAACACCCACAAAGTGTCTGTAATTAGACTTTTACCCAACCTGGGAGACCTGGGAATGTGCATTTTTAAGATTCCATGTCCAAGTGCTGTAATCCTTCCAATCTCCCCTTCAATGATTTCAATTATTATATGGGTTCTTTCAGAACTACCCCAATATTATATTGATAACTACTGCTTTATTTCACCCAACAGTTTTCAAATTCAAGCTCATTTTGCTTTATTTTCCATTTCAGATTAAGACATCAGTTATCTGGGCAACCCCAAATGTTTCCTTCTCAATTCCATTATGGGTAATAATACTAGCAATACTTCTTGGATTATTGGTTCTGGCCATTTTGACCTTAGCTTTATGGAAGGTAAGTTTATTTCCTGTCTTTTCCTTTTGGAGTAGAGAGGCCACTGAAGAGGGTTAGAAGGATATACCTAGCAATTTAACAAGACAGTGCTGGAGGTGTGAGTTGCAGATTTTTATAAAAGGAACAATGCATCTTGTTTGCTTTGGCAAACAATATGCTTTTGTAGCTGACAGTTAAGAAGACAAGGGTGTTTAATATTGCTTTTATCTTGAGATTTCTTGTAAATGCAGAGAGAATTAGATTTTATTAACTAAAACCTGTGATCTTTTTTTCCAATATGTTTAGAATGAGAATGTTATTATGAAGACTTCTTTTTCTTGTTTAATTAACCAAGAGCATAAGCTTTTTATTGACATGGAGTTATCAGCCATCCTTTGAGATTTTTCTCTACAAGTACTACACAGACGCAATAATAGAATAATTGATACTTGGACTATCAAGTAGGGCAATAGATCATGCATGTTATAATATTCTTGGACTTTTTTTTATCTTGCCAACTAGTGTGTCTCCATTAGGACATCTTAACTTACTCTTTGATGTGATCTACTGAAGTTTGCTCTAAAAGTCAACAATAGGAATTAATTTCTGGCCCTAAAACAGACACGACTGCCAAGTTTCACAGAGCTTTCCATTCCAAAATAGAAACAATGTCACAATTACATGACTATCAGAGTAATTCATCCAGTCACATCTTAGTTAACCACTATTGTTGTGGGTCTCCAAAAATCACAGCGTGTTTTTATTTTAAAACAATATGCAGCATGCTTAATAAACCTATAAGCTGAGAAAACCTTGCCTTTTAAGTTAAATATTGGCTTTCCAGGTCATTATCAGCTGTTTTCTGCCATCCTGAGCCCACACAGTCTACTACACGCATTTAGAAAATAGGTTTTTTGTGTTATTCTGTTATTTATAGTAACTATATTTCCATAAGTGTTGTAATGATATGTGCCAATTGACAAAACACTGTACTAGTCCTACAAAAGAAAGATGGCTCAATAGCTAACAGCCAAACCCAGTGAACTGGGCTTCCAATGTAAGAAACCAGAAATAAGAATCAAGGTTCCAGGTTTCTAGGAAAAGATATATTCTCCTAAACCAAATACTAATTTGTCATTTAGGAGGATGAACATTCTAGAATCACCTCTTCCCTGAGTTGCTGGCTAATCTTTACAAAGCCCCTGAGGTGTTCTAGGATTGAAATAAATGACCAATCTGATTTTCCTCTATAAATTATATGTCCCACCATGTGCCAAGGGATATGCAAGCACCCCCTCACTTCCTCCTGTCGTCCATCCCACTGAAGCCCACCATGCAGGGACGGAGAGAACCCCCCTTCCCTGGTCAGCACTTAGTCCTGCTGCTGGCTCCAGAAAAGAGGCAGAAAAGCAGAGCGGGAATCCCTGGGCCATGTTGCC